AAAATCGTTTTTTCGAATTTTTTCCAAACGACTTGACCGATCGACACCAAAAACTAATCAGTTCTAAACCTTGAAGAAACACATCGTTTGCCGCAAACCGGGTCGAAATCGGTTGATTTACTTGCTAGATATCGAAAACGAAAAATTTCGAAGAGCTCAAAAGCAGTGAAAAAAGCGAAATTTGAACGTTAGCGTATGAAATTAGAGGGAAGTTGCAGGGATGGCCCTTGAGTCCAACCGTTTTCCACATTTTTTTTTCATGCGTTCCGTCCACGTTATAGACCAAATTTATAGCATCACGTAGAATGTTTCTTAAATTGCGTGTAGGAGCGTAAAGAGCTTCTGAATAATATACCATAAACCTTAAATTCGAAATAAAGATTTGGGTCATCTTTTTAGTGTACATAAAAAATGTCTTTTCCAATGCCTTCAGGCTAGCCTCTGTACTTGGTACAAAATAATAATAGTTACAAACACCACTCTTCCCTGCTGCATTTGTACGGCACTTTAGAATATGATATATGAAGATATTTAGAACAACTATTTTTTGAGATGAGCGATTATCGAGAGCAAACACTAGCACCGATGTGTTAAACTGTCTGTAGCCACCGGACATAGAACAAATACGAAATGCTACGCATAGAACTGTATTTTTTTGGAACGGTTTTTAAGTTTGCGCTGCAGTGATATGGTGCATATGTATACCTCATACATTTATATTCATTAATTACAAATTATGCAATTGTCTTACGTTCAGATTGCATAAAAGTGTCAATGTTTAATAGCAATACACATACATGTATACAATTGCATATATGTGTGTAGATGTAGATAATATTTTATAGTAAATTTATTGGTCTTACACATCATTAGTACAAAGTAATTCAAAGAGCGGCTTATCAGACATCATAATGTCAATCAAATACCGCAGTGGGCATTAGGGTTTATATATAATTTGGATCTTCAAATTAAATTTTTTAATTGGAGTATATTATACCACACTGCAGAGTTATTTTAAATTTCTTCGGAAATAATGTATTAATAAGTTTATATTCTTACAGCTTTCATACCATACGCTCCTCACGCAATGATCGTGGTTTCAGCAAACGACCGGCCAAAAGAATTGGGCATTTCCCATTAATATCTTAGGGATATATTGTATTTTAAGTATATGTAAGAGTTGTGTTGTTTCTTTATGTTTTTATGAAGAGAACAAACTGCCAAGGGTAATAAGCTGCATGACGATTATTGGCAAGAGTTGGAGATGTATAGTACTTCATGCACTGCACGGCAGTCTGCAGACGCAGAATCAAGGCCTTGGGATCCATGTTTCCACAAAGGGATTGTATCGCCTCACTAGCACCCAGCAGAATTATGGAGTTTATCAACATGCTGGGCCTAGATGATTCGATATGACTTAGGGGAGGACACAATAGACCATAGGTCGCGGTGCATACCTCAAAATTAATCTATCTATAGTACTTCATGTACACACTAATGATGAATAATCCAAATTATGTCTCATTTGTTTTATAAAACTGTGCAAATAAAAATCTTTGAAAACTTTCTCTAAAAATTTTCAATCTTTCAGTACTAGTGCCTCTTGGATGATTGTTATACGCTGAACAGGGAATACTATGTTTGCTACGAAGCTTGTAACATCCTGAAGGAAATATTGGAGACCCTATAAAATATATATATATGTATATGATAGTGATCAGCGTGAGGAGCTGAGTCGATTTAGCTGTCCGTTTGTCTGTCAGTTTATACGAGAAGCAACTAGTCCTAGTTCCGAACAAATTGTTTAGATCTAACCACTATATCATATTATTGCCAAACTCTTGTTTGGGAAACTTTTTTACTTGACAAGATATCTTTTCGAAAGATTTAAAATCTCTGAATATATTGTTCATATTGGGTCACTATAACATTTAGCTGCCATTTAAGCTGACCGAATCAAAATGAAGTTTTTGTATTGAAACTTCAATGGTATTACAGTTCGATGCAATCAGAGTTAACGTTTTTGCTTCATTAAATCTAAAACTCGACAATAACGCGGCCCTTTGACACAGTTTGCGTAACTTCTGAAAAAAATTATAAAAATTTAATGTAGGTAACAATTGCTCGTAGTTCACAGTATTGAAGGTACGTAATTGGATTTTCAATTTCATGATTAGTACGATAAAGTTACTAATTTATTAAATATATCAAAAAATGAAGAAGTAGTAACATGCGAACGGCAAAAAATGAAATGATTTTTATCTAAAAAATATTATAATGAGGACTTAATTAATGGCCGGTTGCCTACTATTACATATAAGTATGTAAATCTAGTGTACAGGTTTTGGGGATATTTTAAAAAATCTACACAGCATCGTCGTTAATTAGTTAAACGACTAATGCATGAGGGATGGACATTTGAGTAAAGCTTAGTTAAAGCGCTGAATTTACGATTTCATAACTTTAACGTATTTAAAAAATTTTGAATTAAACAGCTGATGTCATCTGTTCAAACATGTCAAGAGAGGAATGCTTTTAAAAACTAATTAATTTTCATAAGATGCGGTCATTGCTTCCGCTCATGTGCTATGTATAAAACCATATAAGTTTATGTGTATGTACGTAAGAATTTTGTGGTTACTTCAGTTTATATACGTGGAGACACACAAGTGCGTTGTACATTCCAGTAAGTGCTCTCCTTCATTACACTTTCCGACTTTATTTGTTTGCGCGCATCTATTGTAAATATAAATATAACAAATAAGCAGAAAAGCAGAAAAGTACTCGCTAAGAATGCGTTTTGTGATACTCGACTACCAACTGCAACTAAAAGTTATTGCTTAAAAAACAACAAAACCGCAACAACAATTACAACAGCAGCCATCGAAGGGAGCGAAACTACGAACCAACATTTACACATTTGTTTGTATGTCGGGATATAACATGGATCGTTTTAGTTAGTGGAATACGCGGTAGATAGTTTGTTGAGGAAGTGTCCTCCGACGCTTGGGACGGACGTCGTATATTACAACAGAACGTACACAAAAGTACAAATGGCAATTGTCCTGGAACAATAAACTTTAATGAAAGTGAAGTAGTAAACAAAAAAATAAAAAGCAGCGAAAATACAATGGAATGCTAACACAACAAGTAAGAAGTAAAGTAAAAATCACAACAGTAACAACAGCAACATCGAATAAATGAATGCACGAATGAGCGAATAGGAGCAATCGTTTTTAGCATCAGATAGCAACCCAGTTAACAGTGTTTATGCAGATACTACAAACAATCTATATAAGTAAATGTAACTAAAGTGAAAGTGAGAATTTAGTCTCAACGGCGGCACAGCGGTTAAAATTTCACTTGTACGGGTGTTTAGTACCATATACTATACATATTAAAGATCAAGCTTACTAGTTAGTAAGCTTACTCAGTATATAAAAATATTTTCAATATTACGAGAAATTTCAGTGCTTGGCCAACTTTCGTTGTAAAAGTTTCGAAACTCCTAACACAAAAACAGTGAAACCGACATAAAATCGATATGTTGTAGATTAAAACATCCCTTCCAAGTTGCAATTGTCACCCCTTGATTAATTTAATTTCATCATATTAATTTCTAATGGAATATATTTCTTGGTGAGCAGTATTACCGGGGTTTTCCTTGCACATAACTCAATGTGATATAGTTATAATTTTTATAATACCTGCTATATTTTTCCACGAGCATTTTTGGTAATTTATAATTGCAGCAGTTCACAATGTTCCGAAAGATTAAAGGAGTTGAAGTTTCTAAAGGAATTTTTCATTATTTTTCCTAAATATAGCAGAAATTCGAATTAGAATTTCAATGGTGCTGTTATATGTTTTTTTTGTAATGGTTAAATCTGTTTTATGGAACGCTCTTAAACTGACCTCCACAGGCCTGAAATCATTTAATCTTCTAAATAATTTTTTTTCAGTCTCAAAATTGGACCGAAACTAAAAAGAAAATAACTCAACCAAAAGAAGTAGTCTTGCTTGAGTTAACCAGAACTTAACTGGTTGCTAACCAGACCAGAAAACGGACCGTATTCCTGTTAAACTAAGTGGATTTTGGAAAATATTAATTTTATTACAGCGACCGCCTATCGTCTCTTCAGTACGAAATTCACTTGCATATATCATTATTTAAGATATACTTTTAGGCGATTTAAAACTTGTACAATAATAGTTCAATAGCACACTCTCCGGACTATGATGATTCAAATCAAATTAGTCGAGAAAAATACTATTTTATTAGTAAAAATCGCTGACTGCATTTGAACTGGTCAGAAAACCATCCGATTTGTACCAATTATAAGATAATTTTAAAATTAGTTATTTTAATTGATTTCTACCATTCATTAAGAAATATGTTTACTTATGACTAAGACTTTTATTTAGTTCACTGAATGATAACAATTTGAAAATATTTATGCATTTAATTTAAGAAAAGTATTAAAATCAGGACATCTGAAGCTTATTGGTTTTGATGCATGATGAACCAGATATGTTTTGTCTGTTTACAAGACTAGTAGAAGTAAAACTTATATGTAATATCATCTCACGGATCAGCAGAACGTTCAAAGTGGCAGTTACGTGTATGGAGAGAAGCTAGTAGACTGACCCTTTGGCCTTGTGCTTCATACTAGGCGTAAAGTGGTTAGTTTATAACTAGTTGATTCAACTGCAGGGTACATAAAGCAATTTAAAAATAATATAACATATCTTTCAAAACCTCAAATAGCAAGTTAGATATTGTTATGAAGTGAAATTCCCTCAAGATATTTTTGTGAGCTTGCAAAATATCAATATTTCAGATACGAGAAAATAACAGTTTTGACCAGAACTAGATTCGAACAAGTTGGAGTACTCTACATTTGTCAGAGCCTTGTACATTTTCATAGATGGTATATTCCAATGCATACATATACATAAGGTAAATCAGTGTTACCATATTGGTGTATTTGCCCAACAAATTTTCATTTATGGTAAGTGGTTTGGCACTTATGCTCTACTACTATATTTCTTTTTCTTTATATTACCCCATTTTATTGCTTGCACTTTAATTTCGTTCTCATATTTGCTGGCATTCGCAGTTGTTCTAGCAAACACAAAGCAATTGTTTGGTATTTATTTCGTCATTTTAATGCACTATAATTTCTTGTGATTTGTTGTGGTTATAGTCGATGTTGTCTTTTTTGGATTTTTTGGTGTTTCAAATTTAACACCAAACGTGCGTGTTCAAATAAAAACAAGACATGTTTGAAAAGAATTACGAAAGTATAAATATAAGAACAGTGTTAATTTCGAGAACGAAGTAAACGATCGAGTGCATGGAGTGCGTGACCACTTAATGGTTAAAGACCTGTGTGCTACTTGTGATCAACCCCTAACACGTGTGATCGTAACAATATTATTTATTAAATAAGATAGCAAAACGCTTTTAGCAAAGGTAAAGAAATGTAAAACATCGTTTCTATAAGAGACCGCCACAAGCAAGCCATGAATTACAATACTTCAATTGTAATAAGCTCGATTTCGTGGCAAAAATTGACAGCGAATGAAACATAGCTCCTTCATTTCACTCTGGAGTCTATTTGACAGTCATCCGAGTGAACTACCCACGATTAATCGATTTCGGAGCATGGTAAGGCGCAAGTGTCACTTGGCCCAGCTCAAAGTTTCATCGACACCCTTGTAAAAATTAAGCGACTGGAATGTAGTGGAAGTATTATTGAAATGATTTAAGGACAAAATTGTAAAGAAACGGCCCAATTGCAGAGGAAGGTAGTGTTTTCCACCTACTTTTTTATATTAGCCTCAAGAGAATTCTGGCTAAAAAAAATTTAGTGACAATGAAAAGCTAGTTACCGAGAATGAGACCTCTTTTAAAGTGAATGGTAAATTATGCTACAAATAATTAACGAAAACGAAGTTTGCTAAAACATATGTTATTTTTAGAAACAATATGAGCTTTACAGCTAACAAAAATTTTGAACGATGGCATTTGAAATGCAAAAAGCGGCCTGATTGGCAGTCTGTATATGAGGGAGTATAATCTATCAAGACTGGAAAAAACTTATCGCATGCAAGCGTTAATGACAATATCATTGAAAAAGAGGCTTAGTAGCGTTGGACATTTTATTCGTCGAGATATAGAGTGTAATCACTCGTCAAGTGTTTCAATAAGACTAAGCTATACCATGAGAATAAGAAGGCTCTTCAGTACAATACAACATGCAGATAGACCAAATATGTATATAATAATCTTTAAGTTACCTTTCCTATTCATTTCATATCACATAATTTTATTTGTTTGTCCCCTTTTATTTCTACAAATACTTATGACCTCAATAACAAAACAGGCGTCCTTGAAAATTTTAACATTTTTATTAAGACAGACAATTTTTTATCTTTTATCGATACTCTATTCGTGTCGTGCTTATGAATATCAATAAGAAATTATTCAAGTGAAATGCTTTGCAATTGTGTCAGCTGCATACAAATTTCGCACACAAATTACACCCGCGATAATTATGTATGTAAACAAATATTTGCAGTGTGATAAAAAAGTAACATTGTGATACACAAGAATATAAGCTGTAAACATACTTATTTATAATTTATATAGGCACTTTAAATGTTAAACATGGGAGCTTTTTTTAATTTTCGGTATCAATTTAGAGGCACTGAAGCGTGAAACGTTTCTACAAAAGTTATTGTGACACGAGTACATCAGTGTAATGACACAAATCATTCAGTGTCACTTTTTTTCAGTCCATTAAGCAGGATCTTGAGGTAATCGCTGTCAGCGTTGCAAACGACTGACCAATGTGTGAGGACAGCAAAGATGTCAGTATTGCAAAATTTGCTCTAACATTCATGTCAACTGCTGTTAGAAAAAAAAAAACAAGAAAAAACGTTAACTTCGGTTGCACCGAAGCTATAATACCCTTCACAGGTACAAAGGTTCCTCACAAAAACTTGATTCAGATCTAATTTCGTGAATCAGCAATAAAAAATAAAATTTTTTTCCAAGCAGGCACTTTACTAGGATCGTTCAGTTTATACGATAGCTGTATGACATACCGATGCGATCTAAACAATTTCTTCGGAGATTATATTCTTGCCTTAAAAAATAACTCATGCCAAATTTCGTCAAGATACCTCGTCAAATGAAAAAGTTTTTCATGCAAGCACTTGATTCCGATCGTTCAGTTTGTATGGCAACTATATGCTATAGTCATCCGATCAAAACAATTTCTTCGAAAATTATATTGTTACCTTAGAAAATAACTCATGCCAAGTTTCGTGAAGATATTACGTCAAATAAAAAAGTTTCCTATGCAAGGACTTGCTTCCGATTGTTCAGTTTGTATGGCAGCTATATGCTATAGTGGTCCCATATCGACCGTTCCGACAAATGAGCAGCTTCTTGGTGAGAAAAGAGCAGGTGCAAAATTTTAGATCGATAGCTTAAAAACTGAACTGGACTAGGCGGACAGACGGACATGGCTAAATCAACTCAGCTCATCAGGCTGATCATTTATACAAGTATATACATTTTATAGGGTCTCCGACGCTTCCTTGTGGGTGTTACAAACTTCGTGGCAAACTTAATATACCCTGTTCAGGGTATAAAAAAATTTTACATATGCACACGCTAAATAATGACATAGAATATATATCTTCATTAATGGAACCTTTTTCCAAATGGAAGTGCTTTTCTGCACTCGAAACTTACATTTTTCATTTTACGTTGGTATTTTACATGCCATAATTAAGCGACATCATCCCAACATTTGCGCTGATAATCAAGTAAGATACAAATATAAAGCACACGATAATTTACCATGACTATGTGCATAGTCAAGTACATATGTTCTGGTTTTCATTCAACCCACTCTTCAAAGTTCTTCAATGCACAACTGATAACCGGCTTAATGTGTTCTACTTTTGAAATTCACTTATTAAATTTTTGTTGATTACTAAACACATAGAAAGCCTTTATGGCCTTGTACGCATTATTCAATGTACTTGGCATCAGAACGGTTGTGTACATTCTCTCTTTGCTAAAATTAATGCAATATACAATATAGAACAATTATATACAGATGGTTTTGAGAGACTTGACCACTACTTGTAAATGGCTATATCTGATATGTGTACAGTAGCAGACAAAAGAATAAATTTATTTGGGTAATTACACAAAACCTTGTCTTGCTCCCATTAATTGTTTTAACAAATTATATTTATATTGCCATTTCTTTCCGAACCGTTATTTATGGAACGTTTATTTAAGAAAAAAATGTACAATAGTATTATTGAAAGAATTTTCTATCTGACGTTAAAACATTTTCTTATTCTTCTTGCAATTTGTGGATTCCATCCCGCCGCAGGCTTAGCGTCCAAGAATGAATCAAGCCAATTTTTGATCTTTGTTCAGATGTAAAACGGTATTGAAGTGAGGGCGTTCTTCATCGACCGGAACAAATGGTAGTCATAAGAGGCAAAGTCTGCTCTATAAGGCGAGTAGGACAAAATTTCCCAGCCATTCCGGGCCATTTTCAGCCATCGAATGTATCCAGCTCCATTTAAATGTTTTCAAATGGCGGCTGCTGCAATTATGAGAGCTCTTGGTGTGTTTTGTAACAATCTTCATCCAGTTCCTTAATCTTCATCCAATCGCCCAGGACGTTCTTCGCATTTCAAGCCGAAATAACCATTTTAAGCCGTACAAACCAATTATGAAACGTTCACTCAGTTAGAGCATGTTCACCATAAACTTCCACCAAAATATGATGACTTTGGGTTCAGATTAGGCTTAATGGTCCTGTCAAATCCAGTTATCCTGACTCTATACAAATATTTTATTATCTAATATAAAGTTGTGAGTTCTTTAATACCTAGTTATATTTCATCTAACAATGAAATAAAATATGACTCAGAAGTTTTGTAAGGGGGCAAGAAGCCGAATTGTCCTTAAAAATAACGCAATACTAATGGTATAAGATGTTGGTTTTAAATTGTTTGGTTTTGTACTTTTCTCGTTTTCTAATCCATCATTTAATTCCATCAAAATCCATATTACTGAAAAAACCTAGGGTTTTTGCTATACAGTTAGGTCCTCATTCCATTTTTTAACTTTACGAAACAAAATTGTTTTATTTCAATTCATCATATTTTATGACAATTTATCTAATCGTTTGAAGTAGGCGGTTGCTGGGTTTTTTGTCTTGGCAGTTTTTTCAGGCAATTTTAAGTATCAAGACTGCTTTTATTTGTTAACCAGCGTCATATGGCTTGTCTAATAAAAATGTCTTCGTTAAATTCATTATAATTCTTTCAGCGCTGAGGTATCTCTTTCAGGTGTCCGGTGTTTTACAAATTCTTAAAATATTCTACTACGATTGTATGACGGAGGTTTGATTCCTCTGATCACAAATCCAATATGATATCTTTTACTGCTTCAAGAACAAATCACTTAGCGAAAAACTTAAAATTAATAATTAATATAAGAATAGAAAAGGTTAAATATAATTTAACGCTTGTTGTCTAGATAGCACTATCGATCAGTGCTGCTACTGTATTTGTTTATGTAATTGGTAAACATGGCGTCTCTGCACGATTTCTCATTTATGATTCTCAATATAACAAAAATATTATTTTTTAAATATTTATTATACTAGGCTTTAGTAACTAGGGAATTCAAACTGATTCAAGTTTATGACCGTGACAATATCCTAGCATACGATTACATTAATTACTTATTTGATGAATAGAGTCTAGTTCTACGAACTTGAAAAAAGAACTGATACTATTCGTCCTTAGGCGAGGTGTTTCGAAAATTATTACTGATTTTGGAAGGGTGATGAAATTTTGGTCTTTCGACTACTGAATTATCCTCTATTGCCTTCTACTGCTAGCACTGCTTAGCATTCCCAAGATGATGTTTTCAAACATATATGTAATATTACAATAGTATATTAGGGTGGCTCAGAAAAACGATTTTTTTTACGCTTGGTACTCTGAAAAATTGGTTGATAGCCATCTCTAAAAAGGTCTGTCCAAGTATGAGCTCTCAATTGTAACGGGAAGATTATCCGCCTTACCGTTTTACAATGTTTTCTTATTATCAGATAGAAAAATTCATATCTCGCTTCCAACTAATTGAAAAAATATTACATTTAATAGATATTGTAGGAAATTGAATGCTCTACAAAATAGTCTTTTGAGATTTTTTCGTTAACCTAAATCTTTAAAAGATATTAACAGTTGAAGTTTGATTATTTTAAGCCAAATTTGTTCTTTCTTTTGAATTTTTTAGCTCAATGAAAGAAAAAATAATTTTAATTCGATCGAGCACACAACTAGCATACATTTAGTTTAATGACATAGTCAAGTGTAGGGTGTAAAGAGATTATATCCTAGGTAGGTCGAATAAGTCTATTGTTTAAGTTGAAGTAAAGTGAATATAAAAATATATTATTTCAAACACTTCATGCAAAATCTCTACAAATCTAATAACCATATGTTTAAACAGCAAATGGAAATGGATCAGCATGATGATCTTGTAATTCTGTTATTTAAGACCCACCACATCGATTGAATTTCGGTTCGGTGTTTTCGCGCAAACGCCTCAAAACGCTCAAATAATACTCTTTATTCACCGTCTGTCCCATTGGAACGAATTCATGATGACCCAAACCGTGAATATCGAAAAAAAAAACAATTTCCGGAAACACTCTGGTTTCATGGTACAACATGTTGCTACAGAGTACATATAATGGTCGAACGACAAAAATTCTTTCAATACCATCGATCAACCACCGTATTTCCAAAACTCAAGTTACACTCCTTTTACCCCGTTTCGACTCGATTGAGGCCGCAGAGGGAACTGAAAGCGATCCGGACCCGGACTTACAAGGCATGTTTCGATGATTGAAAAAAGAGGTTGCTTATGCATATACATATGTATAAAGAGCATATTTTGAAGGTGAACAAATTATATATTGATGAAGATTAAAAATTTATCGTTTTATTTGCAATTTCCGGAAACTTTCTGCTTCAATATACCGAACACAAAGTCCAAAAGATAACATTTTTGATAATTTGACATATAAATTAAATTTTAAATTTTTTTTTGTTTTTGTGTAGCGTAATAATAGACCAGGTTCTATAATGAAAAAAAAAAGAAAAGAAACACATTGGAAAAGGAGGAGAATATAACTAAAGTGAAATGAAAAATAATTTACGGGAAATCTGAAGTTGGAAAGTGAAAGGGAAGGGTGGTAAGAGTGAAAACCGGGTTATCTTGATCTCCGGAAAGCCTTTTTTTACTTTTTATCAGTAATTGATTACATTTAGTTAAATTTATTTTTGATTACCACACAAATTTTAAAGCGACCAAAACTAGACTAACGAGATACAAAAAAAACATTCTGAAAGTATAAAACTATATATATTTGGGAAATTATATTAAAATGATGTGTGCATTAACATCATATTTACTTCGTTGCAGCAACTCATATGCTCATATCACTTTTGGCAAAAGTAAAAGGAACGACAACAAATGTAATTGCTGAATGTTTTTA